GGTATATCCTATTACAGTTTATGGATCCTTTTTCGAACGAGTTTCTCTCGAAATTCACTTAGAAATTCTATGGTGGCTCGAAACAAAAATTTTAACTTGAAATCACGTGCGGGTTTTATAACGGTACAAAATTATGAAAATTAAATGCCGATACCGTGCACGCCTCTAGGAAATCGTTCCCGTAGTCCATCGACTATCGCGGACAAGGACGCGAATGGGTTCGCCCAAAATGACATAGAATTTGCCACAATCTTCGACTGAATACAGGTTTGCTAGCTGAGGTAATTGGATAATTAATTTAGCTGTACCAACCTTCGACAACCATATATTGTTCCCGTGAACGAATACCTCTATTAAATATTTTCGTCGAATCATTCGTAAAGCCAATATCCCGTAATTGCCCGAATTTCTCCATATTATTTAGTATGTTCGAGCCCGAGGATAAGAAAAAAAAAAAGAAAGAAGCAAAAAAGGAAGCGCTAATGGAGAGTTCGTAAAACGGAATGTGGAGCGTGATTGGATCTTCGCGAAGGGGCGCGAGGGGAAAATCACTTACAGATGCAATTAGGAGCACGAAGCGTCAGAAAATGGCGAGGAGCTAAAGTTGAAAAATTCAATGGAATTAAACGCGAATGAAATTCATACGTAACGCATCGAAGAGATCCAGGGACTCGGTTCGACTTCTTCCCGATCTCGAGGAAGAGTGAAATTCGCCGGGCCCGGTTTGAAATTAGTATTCATTAGGGGTCCCCGTAAGATTTTCGACGAGTCACGTAGAAATAATTAAGGTAAGTGAGGGCTTCGCCTCTCGATCCAGCAACTTGCTTCCTCCATCCCTTTCGCTCCTTCGTAAAGATCTTCCCTCTCCTCCTAATGGATCCTGGATACTGCTTCTGGGTCCTTAGCGCATGATCAGACCCTGCTCCGGCCTCCGTTCGGATGATGCCCAGGTCTCTGCTCCCGGTCTAAAATATATTCCAACGACTTGTCAAAATGAATTTTTCAAATTGAACGACAAACATTAAGTCAATATTACAATTCCATCGGACGGGTCCGCCTTAATTTGGCCTCCGGCAGTTTGATCTCATTTCGATGAAATAAGGTAAAGCAAAAGAAACGTGGACCCGGTGCGAACCGGTTGGGTTATAAGCGGTACCACGGAAGCTGCAGGCGCGAGCGCGTGTCCAACCGGTGTATCATTACTCTCGTTAAAACATCCCTATTCATTCGGAATGCGTGAGTGCTTACACGCACGTAAGTATTACGCAGGGAAAGAAATATCAGCAGTCGAAAATACTCGGCGGCCCCAATGAAAGATCGAGTGTCCGGCTGAGTCCAACTGGAATGTCCCCAAGTAGGAGTCTACCAGAGCCGGATGATCTACGACGCTCCTTGGCACCTGTCCAGGATCGACCACTACGCGATCTACAGCACTGGACATATCTCTACTGCGCATGCGCGTATCCAAAGATCATCCACAAACGCCTAATGAATTTTCCTCCTAGTCTAATGAAGTCGTTTCGAGAAATTTCAAACAGGTAAAACGATCTTATCGTTAGTTAATTGGACGAATCGTAATTCATTCAAAATTTGTGCCCGACGTCTTACGCCACTGATTACTCAATGATTTACAAGTGCCATTATCGGTCTGCCCGGTACACAATTTTTTTTTATCTATCAACCAACAAAATTCTCAAAATCACTGTGTACGACCATCATCCTCGGATTCCAACGACGTCCCTGACACGACCGACTTCAGTCAACCGATTCCTCTTGCTATATCTTCTTCAAACGTTTCTTTCTCCCTTGATTCTGAATACTCAGTTTCATAATAATCCTCATATATGCCTCGTGCCCATGTCTCAGACCGAACAGTCTGCTCGAGACCCGGGTGCTCGTTAGCTGGTGCACCTGTGCACGCGCCCACCCGGACAACTCAAATTTTTCATTCGAGACCCTCTTCCCATCCAA